TGTGTGTGTGTGTGTGTGTGTGTGTGTGTGGGCGTGCGCGATAAATACTTTTTTACTCTCATAAGAATATTCTTATTTTTCTTATTTTAAATATTATTATATTCATGTTTTTAGTCCTATGTTATACTGTAATCTACCAGCGCCAAGTGTTTACTTCTTTAATTTTTTATAACATTTGAATAGACAAAATAATGCAATTTTATCATAACATTTTGAATATTCTTTTGAAGGAAAATTAAATAACTACTGCTTTGGTTGGAAGGGAAAATGTCTTTGAATAAATTTTGCGATATACAAATTACACAATAAGAATTAGAATCATTTAGATCGAAATAGAAGATCCTTCAATAAGAATACAAAAATATATATTTAGATTTCGTTGTACAAAAATTAAAGATAATACCACTTGGATTGTTCTTTATTTTATCTGGTATGGCATTTTATTTTTTTATTTTATTTTGGATAGGATTTAACTTACCGCCAGTTGTTGATATCAAATCTTTTATATGAATAATGCATATAATTAGAATTAATAAGTAACTAACAAAGATAGTACTACTTGGGTTTTACTTTTTAATTTGATAAAATTTAACTTGGTTAGTTAAAATAAAAAGATACGTAATGCATCACTTAAGGTTCTATTCAAGAAGCATATTCTTTGCGCCCTTTTTTACTTTTTTTTTTTAATACAAGTTTGTACTCTTGAGATTTTTATTACACTGAAATATAATTTTATAAAAAAAAGAATGTATAAATATATATGGTCATATTATATAATTGTAGGTTTACATGTAATTATATATGTATATGATTATATTGACGGTTCTTTATATTCTTTGGCTAACTTTTTGCATAACATCGTAATGCAAAATAAAATAAAACTAATGTTCTTAAACCATTAACATCATAAACAATAGTTTTCAGCTGATCAAAAAATTAAAATGCTTACACGTTGATAATAATTATTCTTTGATTTCACTGAACATCAAGTCACTTTTTATATAATGTTCCAATTGATTTAGCAGTCCAGAGCATTTCTAATAGGTGGAATTATATTGAGAGTAATTTGTTCCCTTCCTAAGAATGAATTCATTAATGCCATATTATATTGGTTCTAAATAGAGATGTAAAAAAATGGTATTTTTAACTTCGGAGAAAAGTATCAAGTAAAAAAACGATATTTTTGATCAAATTACATAAAATTCATAAAAAATTCAATTTTATGTTAAATTTTATTTAACATAAAATTGAATTTATGTTAAATATGTAGAAGAAGAAATAGAATTCATTTTTCTTGTTATTTTGAATTTACTTTTTAATACTTTTGTCTTTATAATTTTATATCGGAGCGGAAATATGTTTTATTGGCTGTTGCAATTCTTGATTAGTTGAAATAGGTTAATAGGTCTAACATATTTGCGTTACTTGCACTCTCAGTATCTGTGTTTCCTCTTTTTTCAACGCCCAAATCTATTTTTCTAATTATATCACTTTAAGTGCAAAAATTTTAAAAAATTTCGAGCAATACGACAGACCTAAATGACTTGAAAAAAATACCCGAGTAAAAAACTGTCAAAGCCAAAGGAAAAAAATTATTCATTTTCGAATTTTTTACCCTAAAATTCTAGTATTTTTCCGTCGTTTACATCTCTAATTCTAAAATCCATTTTTTTTCAAATTTGATAATTGTATATCAATAGAAATTCAACACTCCAATGAGCTCTCATCTCTTGGCTATTGCAGACCTAGTTTTACAAGATCTTGAAATCAAAGCGTTGAGAGCTTTAGGATTTTCATTGTCACTATACTTTATTATATCAATTTATAATTTGACCCTTATGTAAGAACAGAACCAATTTAAATTATGAACTGATAACATATGTCAACGCTTTCGTTCCACATTATCGACGAATGCAATTATTCGTATTTTATCCATATTTTTGTTCTTTTGTCGACATATTCCTCGTGCAGTTTGATAAGTCACTCTCATACATACATTATTTCATTTAAAGAGTTACCTTATACATAATTTGATTGCTATATACTCGTAGACATTGACATCGACATTACTTTATTGGATTCTTCTTTGAATCATACAATCTACTGACTAACCATTTAATGTTCTATGAGGGATGTAAATCGTTATTCGATCTGTTTGCTGAAGATGATTCCAAAGTGAGTTGAAACATACGAAAACTTAAATCAAATTTTATAATTATAACTTCTCAACCTTATACGTAGGCTGCTGGAAAAGTTTCTGCAATCTAATACTTCCAGTGACGCTAACGTTCTGCTACTATCATATCCGTAAAATTAGACATTTTTAACCTATAATTCAATTGACAGTTTGTACCCAAGCTAACTAGTTTTGTTTGCATAATATTTTAAAAGAACAACTTTAAATACAAAGCGCCTTCCCGGTCCGAGTGTTAAGATGTTGAACTACTATCTAATATACATTCAATTAAATTGAATTAATATTTCAGAAATAAATTGAGAGCCGATGAAATTATCGGATTCACACAATCAATCTGAAACAAATAATC